GGCGATGCTGTTTTATTCGTTCGCGAGATCAAACACATACACGACAGAAGCGTAAATAATCAAAAGAGGGGGGAATAAGGGGGGCGGGGTGGAGGACACAAGAGCAAAAACCCGAGGGTGGAGAAGCGCCATGAACGCGCGATTTAACCCCCGCCACGGTCTGGATGTGGGATGTGGGACAACCTGGCGTCTCCTCGTCTGCTGGCATACAAAAAGCTCTTCACCCTTTTCTCTCCCAGCAGTTTCTGCGTTCGGTGCGCAACGCTGCGGTTTCTTTTCGAGCCAACTTCAACCTGTTTTCGTTTCCCATCCTCTCTAATTTATCCTTTGGCCGCGTATCGAAACGCGGCTTCCGGCGGCAAAGCTGAACCACAAGGACCGATTATAGCAATCCTTTCTCCGTTGAATTGCTCTTGAAATTCATCTTCGATTGTTTACCCCTTCGCACACGAAGCTGTCCGAACGCCAAAAGCAACACAACCCATTTCGAGCCGAAATCGTTTCTTCGTTATCGATGTCCGATTGTTCGATCAAACCGTTGGCACGCAGTAAAGTGAAAATCAACTTAATTTTTAAGGAAATGATTAAACAAGAGGTTAAATGGATTAGTGGCGCCATCAGATTCGTCATTCTAGTAAGAAGAGTTACACTTCAATTTGCATTAGCCGACAATCTATCCAACGTTTCATCAACTGGCAGTCTTCTCGCAGGCATCTTGAAGTCGAGTTTCAACAGTTGAGAATTCATATAGTATATAATTTCTCCCGAAATCGGGAGAAATTTATTTCAGAGAAATATTATCGATAGACTTCCGATTAGTAAGTCGTTAATAAATTTTAACTATCTGGTTCTCTCTCTCTATTGCGATAGCCACGTAATCTACCAACGAATTTAATACGTCCCCTCGCTATAATTATCCTGGAAGCCAGAAAACCGGATAGACGAATGAAATTACGCTCGTAAATAGTTATGGTCGCCGACCATGGGCAGTGTCGACATAACTATCGTAACGAGCTGCGACGAAAATCCTTGGCGCCGCGGTGAGTTCGCTCGTAATACAGTGTTAATCGCGACAGTACCGAAAAAGTTCGACGGACGCCGGGTTCCTTTGACTTGCTTCAAAAGCTTCCGATTACGCGGGAAAAGCGTTTCGTAATCGCGTGAAAACGGCGTATTGTAGATGATGAACTGGTATCGTAAAGACGTAAAATATCGAATTGGAACGGAAGCGTTCTACGCCTTTCGGTGCCATGAATCAAGAATCGCGCTTCTTTATGCGCCGATAACTCAATTCGACGAAGGGGCAGTCTCATTGTTGCAACAAATGAGCGATAGGATATTCGTATTATTTATGCGTCCTATAGCGTTTCCTTTACTACCCGTTCACCGTAATAAATATTAACCACACGGTCGAAAACCACTAAAAATTATCACCACAATTCCGAACAATTTTTTCATCGCCATGATTTTTGTTCACTCGATCAAATTAATTTAAATTATTATTTATTATTTCTTTGTATTTGTAATAATAGAATTGTGGGAAATTCAAGTATAGCAAATATTTGTAAATTCGTTCGAAAACGGGTGCCGATTGCTAGGTCATCGATCGTGAAACCGTCCGGCCGATTCGGGTGAAAAGTTAAAAACAAAAATGCTAAATAAATTTTGTTGGGGAGGACGAGGCTCGTCCCTTGTCTCAAGCAGAATGTACGATCGCGCCGCGAGCGTTATTTTCCCGGCAAGATGTGCCGCGTTATTATCGAAGATGGTCGTTTTCCCACGTGTTCTTTTGCCTCTGATATCAGATACCGTTTACAATCGCCCAAGGGTGCGCGAGGGAGACAAGAGGAGCCGTTACACAGCGAACTGTTGCGGCCCACTTTGTCAATGATTCCGTGGAACAGTGTTTTATCGCGTTTGCGGACACTGATAACGCGACTCTATACAGGAGCGATGCAATTAGCATCCTAAGTTTGCCGCTTCTTATTATGCTGTGCTATTTTAGTCCAAAGTTTTGCAAACTGTGGCGCATGAGGAAATGGTCAACAGGCGCGTATTTCATCTAAAAATATTAACTCGTCCGCTAATGTTTCTGGTCGATCATTAGATGTACCTATTTATTGAGCTATATTTTGTAATCAAAATTCTGCGATGTTTTGAAAAGTGCGATTCCTGTTATTTTAAAAGGCAATGCAGACCAGTCAATTTTAGTGCTCGATAATTCCAGCGTTCAAAACCGTGACATTATCCTCGGAGAACTTCGAACTTTTCAGTAACGATATTATATAACGTTTTTATATATATGTATATATATTATAAAATATGAAATAATATATATATAACGATATTAATTATTTCTCTCTCTAATATTATATATATAATATATATATTATAATATCGCAAGAATCGCACTTACAATATATATATATATATATTATAATATTATGAAATAATTAATATCGTTATATTTCACAAGAGTTGTATTTAGTAAAAATCGGGGAAACACGTTCATCCACAATTGCGTATTCACGCCTGTTCTTATCAATCCCGTGATTTCATTTTCGCCAGGGAAATACGAATCAATGTTAAAAGGGAACCGCGAATTCTTGTTTTCGGGGCGGTAACATTCTTATCGCGCGCATCGTTGTTGCGATGCTTGCAGTAGATATTTAGAGCGTTCCATCGCGATTCAATTCGACTCGACAACCGATGAATTATCGCCGCGCGCACTTTATCTCGCCATAACATTCTCCGGAGTATCGTGGCCGTGTCCGACGAAATGGAAATAAGGCGGTTCGAAATTTCCCGATCTCGAGCGTAAATAAAAATAGATCTCCGAGTTTTACGATCGTTCCCGGAGGATGACCGTGCCCGGCGACAGTCGCGTGAACGATTGCCTTCCGAAGAATGCGTGCTCGAATAGATATATACATATATATATTTACTGTCAAACAGAACGAACTCTGCACACTATACCGATTTTCCGAAGAGTTACGATTAGTAAAAGATCATCCTCGAACTGGACTTTATGCGATTCCATTCGCTGAAAACATAAAGCGATATGCCATCGACTCCGCAATAATTCCGATTCGAGGCGATTACGATTAATAAAAGCACCTGGCTGCACGAAATTCTACGGTCCAGCAATAAAAGTCTTCAAAATTTCATTACTACAACAGAGCGCGAGAGAGACGTCTCGGAATTGCTATTTTACATCAAGGCGGCATGTAATTCCATGCGCGCGTATGCACGCGTCGTGTACGTAAACGCGACAAAATATTGGAACACAAAAGAGGCTGTAACTCGTAAATAGGATCGTGTTGAACCACATGCGTGAACTTTTCTTGGAACTTCCGCGTCCTGAATTCAGCCTCGCAGTGCAACGAAAGCTCCCTGGAAAATTAGCACCGCGTATACTTTGATTCGTCGATACGAGCACCGAAACTTGTTCATTTCGCGAATGACTGAAATTCTGAGAGCATTCCGGCGAACGAATTAATTCTACGGACTAATTGATTCGATATAGGAAGTCCCGTGATGCAGAAATCGCGCGGAACTTCGGAAACGATGCGAAAACATTAGGAACCGGGTCAATCCTGTTCGACGATGCCGGTGCTAAAAGCTGTAACCGGACAACGCCGCGATTCGACGAAGGAAGGACGACAGGCGAAATGTTTGTGCTCGTCGTAACCCTCGTGCACGTCACACCTCTGTTTCCCTTCGCCCTCAGCCCCGGACGCTATACTTTAAAGCAAATTAGGCGCGCCGCGCCGTGCCGCAGCTCGGCAGACCCGTGCACCGCCGAATTCCGAGTTATCCAATACAAGCTCCGTTACGCGTCTTCCGCGAGGATTCGACGGTACGGTGTTCGATTTCCCGAAGATGTGAGTGCCCGACAAACACCCATCAAAATTCTCGGGGTTGAAACGCTTTTTCTAATTGGAGAGGGGAACCTGCATTAATTTGATCCGCTTCGGACAGTAACAAACCGTAAAAATCAATCCTCATCAGGCCGAGCTGTTTTGCCCTTTCGACGGATCTTCGTTTTACGATTTCTCCTACGAAACGACTGTGTTCGAAGAACATCATTTTTTAACGAAATTATGCTCTATGGTCGAACTGTGGATCTATGGACCAAGTGATTTCTACATGTAAGATCAAAGTTGTAGTTGCAGATGCTTGTACAAAATAGGAATTAAATATAAATGTCACCGTTTTTTCACTAATTTTAATAAATCGGGAATAATGTATTATTATATAATAATATATTGATAGTATGAACTTTTGTTGACTCTATAACCGTTTTAAATTTCGCCTACTCATTTTGTTGATAAACGCGAGCAGTCTAATTATGAGATACGTTTTTTAGATCTTCTCATACAACTTGAAACGAGAATGGACATGAAAAGGAAATTATCCGGAAATAATGTAAACAAGGATACCAAATTCTGTTAAAAAATACGTTGATTTTCAAGGAATAAAAATTGCTACGCGAATCTTCAGGCACAAGTGACCACGAAAGATGCAAACAACCGAACTTGCAGAGCGCTAAAGACATCCTAGAATTCTTACAGAAATCTGCCACTGAGAACTGAAGAATCATCAATCATTAATTTTTTGACCCGGAAATTTCAAAGATGTCATAAAAAACGAAGTCATTTGTTTAATTAAAGAAAAATTGAAAAGCGACGGTGTACGACACCGAGTACTCGATTCGACATTTTTGTGTTGCACAGGTTCTAATATTTCTAATGCTGGATGTGTCAGCGTAAAGCTTTAATTTTTAATTTCAACATCTAATCTATTCGAAGATTCGTCTAACGAGATCCCGTGAGAAAAATGGGAACGATCGAGAGCACCAAGCCACGTTACAAATCCCCCGTCTAATCTTCAAGAACAATCTTCTGGAGAGAACGTAGAAGAATGCCGGAAATAACCAAAAATTCGACGCATTTGAAAAATGGGACTCGTTCGCGAAATGAAATGAAGCTTGTACTCACCGTAGTCATCCTGAGGAGCAGGTTATCGGAGATCGAGCAACAGCCACGCGGACCCGGTATCAGCCGGCAGGTCCTAGGTCTTCTGAGAGAGCCGGTTCTAGGATACCAGCTGATCAGCAGCGTTCAGAGTCTAGGTGTCACGAGTCACGAGTTTAGCGGATTTTGCGAGTCGCTGAGCGAGCTTCTTGCCGCGGATCTGACGAGTTCGACTAAGAGGGGGTGGTTTTGGTACCGCGGGTAGCCTCTGAGTTTGGAGGTCAGAAGGCGAGTGATTGGTGGAGCTTGCGCGGGCACATTTATACTGCAACCACTCGCCCCTCTTCGACGGTCTTCTTCTGTGCCACCAAGAGGCCCCCCGCTTGTACCCACCACCGACGTGTTCCTCCTCCACGTTGTTAGCGGCCGCCCCGTACATGTTCTGCACCCTTTCCCTCGCTCTCGCCACACGCTCTCCCTCTCCCTTGCTCTCTCTTGCTCTCTCCCTTGCTCCCTCGAGCTCTCCCCTCGCTCTCTTGCTCGCTCCTCGTTACGTCATTGGAGCGAGTCTCCACCCCGAAACGATGATATCACGGAGAACCGCGTCGATGGCACCGACGACCGCCGAAGAAAAACTGCTTTCGGGAGCCCCTTACGTAGATTCATGAATGAAAGTTGGTGAATGGAGCCCCGCCGGGGGCCGAGTTCGGGCATCGTGGCACGTTACCTTACTATTCGAATGCCGACGTCACTTGTTTCGTCGATCTTTTGCGAGGACCAGCCGCGGCGTGCGTCACCGATTGTCTGCCGATGCCGATCGATCTGGCTGTGCATGTTGCTTCGGAAATGCCAAATCCGTCGAGACGCGAAGTTCTGTTGCGCAAGATGCTCGCTCGTCGACAAAGACGAGCGTAAAGGTAAAATCTATTTTCTTTAATCACTCGACGTCCGCACTGTCGTCGCTTTTGTCTCTTCTTTCGCCTTTGAGAAGCCGCCCGGAACGCGGCAAATAAAGGTTGCCGAAGTAATTCAACGATGTATCGTACGAATTAACGGATTAATTGTGAGAAACCAGCGGTCTGCGAACATGTATTGGGAACGGGCAATCATTTTCGAGCAACGGTGTCCACGATCCGAGGCATGAAACATCAAGGATTCGCTTGCATTTCGTCGCGAGAAAAAGCCAAGTGCGTCGTTATCCGGAGGGTTGATCGGACATCATCGACAGCCCGGTGCGATCGCAATGACTTTTCGAGATCTATCATCGACATCTATTCAACGATTGTCCTGCACACCCAGCCTACCATTCGACGATGTTTTTCACACAGATAAAGCACAGATCTACATTCGATACGATCAGTCCTGACGTAATCGATACTCCTTCGTCGACGAGTTCTATCAATTTCCACGCGATATTGACAACATAATATAAATTCTACCTACTTGGCGCTCAGCTTGGAAAAAAATGGACAATTTTGGAAGGGCAGATACGTTTTTGTAGTTGTCGGCAGTCGGTAACTATAAAAACGAGCCGCGAGGCTCGAATAATCGTATCTCCTCATCCCAAAATTGTTCATTTTCGTTCTTTTTGCCGGGAGAACGCGGCATGACTGCGAATAAACGTTCGCCCATTCACCATGCGGCTGCTGTTCTCCATTAGAACTTTGCTCTCCCCGCGGGCTTTTCTATCCCGTAATTAATAACAATGTGATCGTCGATACGCGCGTCGCCAGGGATTTTTCCATAACATGTCGAGTTCTCGTGTACGGAGCACAGAATCGTGTACGCGAGTATCCGCCGTCGCTGATGGATTGACGTTATACAGCGTGCAGTTTTCAACCGAATTAAAGGGACAACACGTTTTCCCGAGCAGCCCGCGAATTCTAGCAGCCGGTGATTGAAGGGAAAAGTTGTTGCCGGGCGGCCGCGTAGTTTGACATCGCGAAGATAGTCTTTCGGGCACAATGCTCGTCGCGCAGCTCGTAGCAGGAATGCTTGTTGCTTCAAATTTAAATGATTACACCGGCGAGTCCTGCCCATCAGGAATAACGTTCGTCCTACGTGAAACATCCGCGAACATTCTGTTATTCTGTATTTATAAATCGAACCATCGTGAAAAAACTCTTACATTATCCGGGCGTCGAAAAGTTGTGTGTTCCGCACGAAAGCTCCGAGTTTTCAGCAGCGCTTCGAATTTCTTCTGGGAATAGTCTCCGATAACGTTAGTAACCTGAGTTTTAACCTTGNATCGACAGCCCGGTGCGATCGCAATGACTTTTCGAGATCTATCATCGACATCTATTCAACGATTGTCCTGCACACCCAGCCTACCATTCGACGATGTTTTTCACACAGATAAAGCACAGATCTACATTCGATACGATCAGTCCTGACGTAATCGATACTCCTTCGTCGACGAGTTCTATCAATTTCCACGCGATATTGACAACATAATATAAATTCTACCTACTTGGCGCTCAGCTTGGAAAAAAATGGACAATTTTGGAAGGGCAGATACGTTTTTGTAGTTGTCGGCAGTCGGTAACTATAAAAACGAGCCGCGAGGCTCGAATAATCGTATCTCCTCATCCCAAAATTGTTCATTTTCGTTCTTTTTGCCGGGAGAACGCGGCATGACTGCGAATAAACGTTCGCCCATTCACCATGCGGCTGCTGTTCTCCATTAGAACTTTGCTCTCCCCGCGGGCTTTTCTATCCCGTAATTAATAACAATGTGATCGTCGATACGCGCGTCGCCAGGGATTTTTCCATAACATGTCGAGTTCTCGTGTACGGAGCACAGAATCGTGTACGCGAGTATCCGCCGTCGCTGATGGATTGACGTTATACAGCGTGCAGTTTTCAACCGAATTAAAGGGACAACACGTTTTCCCGAGCAGCCCGCGAATTCTAGCAGCCGGTGATTGAAGGGAAAAGTTGTTGCCGGGCGGCCGCGTAGTTTGACATCGCGAAGATAGTCTTTCGGGCACAATGCTCGTCGCGCAGCTCGTAGCAGGAATGCTTGTTGCTTCAAATTTAAATGATTACACCGGCGAGTCCTGCCCATCAGGAATAACGTTCGTCCTACGTGAAACATCCGCGAACATTCTGTTATTCTGTATTTATAAATCGAACCATCGTGAAAAAACTCTTACATTATCCGGGCGTCGAAAAGTTGTGTGTTCCGCACGAAAGCTCCGAGTTTTCAGCAGCGCTTCGAATTTCTTCTGGGAATAGTCTCCGATAACGTTAGTAACCTGAGTTTTAACCTTGAGCAAAAATTACGGGAACGTAATGTAACATTCTTGAAAGGTTCATCATAAATGTTTCGTATCGAAGCTGTATCGGAATGAGAGCGCTTCGTTTTTATACATCGGAGAAAGGAGGAAACATTGGGAAGGTTACTTTAGTAATCTTCGGGAACGGTTGCGATTGATTTTCAGAGCATTCGTACGTACTCCAGCATTGTGTTTCGCTGAATTAGGATCGTTTCGGATTCGCTTGAGTGAAAGAGACGTTCTCTTACTTTATTCTCCGCCCTCGCAGCCCCGCAGCCCCGCGGCTCGCGGTTTTAATCCGTCGCTTATTATTTAATCCGTCGCTGTCTGATAATATTTCATTTTCATTGTTATAGAATTAGCAACTCATTTAGCGATGCTACCCAATTGTGTTTGATTTTAGATTGATATCGAAGAGGGGTGTTTTCGTCAACCCGAAAATCATCTTAAACTTCTAAAATGTTTAACGCATCTTGATGTGTCATATTGACCGATAAATTAACAGATATCACAGTTCAGCTACTCTTTCTTGATTAAATTGTTCCTCAAAGGACAGTAGTTTCTGAAGGAACAATAGTGTCGCGACGCGCATCTTGCCCCTCCGTCTCATCTTACCCTTTGGGTTTAGACTGCGGTTGATTTGGACATTTTTTTGCCATTTTTGAGATTTTACGAATTTATTAATGTATGACTCGGGGTACGGCCGAAGGGTATCGGCTGGCTTTCCTGAGAAAGTCAGCGTAGCCGTGTTACTGTTAATGACACTTGACGTAGCCTAGGCCCACACAGGGCGCCAAGGTGGCTCGACAGTTTATTTCCCGTAATTTCCATGGGGTACGATGGGTATCATTGTTCGCGGCGTCACCGTTCTTGGCGACTGGCTGTCGAGCCACCCCCATCGTCTTAGCTCCGATAGGCTATTTCTAATTGATGGGCCCATTGATGCCCCGCTATTTTAGTAAAGTTTGGTGTATGAGTTTTTTACCTCCACGTTTTAGCGGACCGACGAAATCCGCGATAGAATCTCGTCGACCGTCATTAGAATCTCATCGCTAATAGTATCTTTTTTGTCACAGTTTTTTAAATATATTTACAATAAATTTTCTCTAATTGACATCCGGTTTGTACAAAAAAAATCGACAGTTTGGGAAGAGCAGATACGATTTATTGTATTATTTATGTTAACATGAAAACATGATATAATATTTACATACGTTTATGTATTGTTATTAAGCAAACCCATTTTTCCATTCATGTACTTTAAATTAATGAGTACAAGTTTGACATAATTATGTAATGAGTACATAATGAGCCCAAGTCGACATAATTATGCATAAATTTTTTAGTATACCCATAGGTAACGAGCAGCGTCGCCGTCGCTGGTACTGTCCTTGTCAATGTTGGTTTCAAGCCATTTTACAATGAACAAAAACCTTCGTTTTCGACAATATTCTGCAATACAATTAGTGCCGGTTCTTTGAAGTTTTTCACCTTCGATCATAGTTTGAATTTGAATTTAAAACGTATCGTTCGTTACGAATATATTTACAGTAAATTCTCCCTAATTTGCGCTCAGATTGTGCAACAAAAATGGATAATTTGGGAAGAGGAGATACGATTATTCGAGCTTTGAGGCTCGTTTTTGCAGTTACCGATTGTCAACAGCTATAAAAACGAGCCGCAAAGCTGGAATAATCGTACCTCCCCTTCCAAAATTGTCCATTTTTGGCGCACAATCTGAGTGCGAATTAGGGAGAATTTACTGTACTTATTTCAAACTACCGCTTCTCTCTCTCTCTCTCTCTCTCTCTCTCTCTCTCTCTCTTTCTCTCTCAATTCCTTTCCGTTACTTTACGACAGCTTCGCTGAACATTGCGTTCAGTTGAAGTCGCACATACATCCGTGAATATTACCCGCGAACCTGTGCATACCCATTACAAATATGTTCACCCTTGTTACGCCATATTATTCAGGCTATCTAATTTTTGTGCGGTACAGCAACGC